GATCCCTTAAAACATATATATAAAACTATGTGTCCGAGTTATTTTTGTATATATTGAGAAACACAACATGCTACAATACTAAAATGAGCAACAACCAACTTTGTTATTTCCTTTCACATCTGAGGCACTGTGATAAGTATATCAATGCCAAAAAAGTTGCCCTCTTACAATTTTAAATTATTCTGGTATCTGAGTTTTCAACTGTGTGTGTGTAACATATATGTTTGTATTTTTATGCCAGAGGGTGTATGTAAATGAATGAAAAAAAAGGGTGAAAGAGAGAGAGAATACTCCCGACAGGGCCTGGCCGCACTGCAATCCCCCTTCCTCAAACTGTGCACCCTATCAGGATCCTGGGCGTATGTGTGCATGCCCTCCAGGACTGGAAAGTGAACCCTGATTGGCCATGGGGGAAATGTCACTTTCTCTGAGGTAAAGCACTGCACTATAGCATCAGACCTAAAATATATTTTTAAGTGAAATCCTCATTGGAAGAGTACAGACATGATTTTTCCTTTTTAGATTTGTCTGAAATTGTTTCAGCTCCACCCAAGGGCTCGCAACGTATCAAAAGCAAAACACCTCAGATTCTGTGTGGAGTTGTTGCCATGCAAAGGACATTAAAATAGGAAGACAGGACGCAGAGCTGTCTCACTAGCTAGTGCAGCTTAGCGATTTAGGTAATCTCATGCTCCTACAACCGATTCAGTTTAGTGGCTTTTGTGTCATCAGCTTGCTTCTCTAGAGAACCAGCCACCTCTGAAAGGTGAGAAATACGGTGGGCAAACGCAATGACAAAACACTCTCAAGATAGGCAGAGAAGCCAAGAAAGCACATATTAGCACTTCGGTGATGGCTTCAGGAGGGTCCAGTGGAAGCTACAACTTGACCCTGAGCAGCAAGGGCTATAACCTCTCCAAGTGTAAAAGGCAAAGGAAGGCCATTTGCTGTCAGCGGTGCAGTTTAACCCTCTTGAATATGAAGACAGCTCCCCCAAATCCCTCCCCTTCTCCCCCGCCCCATTCACACTGATGTACAAACTCTGCTGTTGACTTTCCATTCAGGAAATCTGGTCAGCAACTTCACAGCTGCTCCATAAAACCTGCAGCTTGCTGAAGAGCTCGGTGCAAGTGCCTGATTTAATTGTGGATGGAGGGAAATAATAGGTATCTCTAGCAGGTTTTAATATGATCTTAAAATAGGGGGAAAGTTTTCTGTTATGACATTGACATAGAGGCGATGATTTTGAGTAATGCAGGATGATGTGGAGATGCTTTAAGATTAAATAAGAGCTATATAAAGGCTTGTCAGAATGAATTCTAATGTGCCATGAGACACTTTGCATACTCTTAAATATGCAAAATGTCTCTTGGCACCCTCGAATTCATTCTGACAAGCCTTTATATAGCTCTTATTTAAACTCCTTCTTTATTTTTAGGGAACAGGTACTCAGAGATACTCTTTGAATGGAAGCAACAAAGGGCAGTGTTTATTGATTTGGTTCTTTAGTGGGGGGAAAAAAAGAAACACAATCCGAAAGAGCAGTCAAAAGTGGAAGCTTGTTTAATATTGCTCTACCATCATCCTGAAAGGCATAATAATTTGAGTTACACATCTGAACTGATTGGAGTTACAGAATCATATCTCCTTTTTGCATTTAACAATATATACAATATAAAATAAATACATTTACACAAATGGACATTTGCTGGAGCACACGGTATGGTACACATCACAAAAATATACAATTGATTGCTTTACAGATGTGAAGCCCATCTACAGCTATAGACATGGTTTTATTATTATTATTATTTTTTTTTTACTACTGGCTATAATGCAACTCCTGGATTATTATAAGCAGTTTAAATTTTTTGTCCTTTTACGATCTTTGCACATAAGACTGCCATAAAATGTTTTCCTAGGCAGGTAAACAGAGACGCTTAAATAATTAAAATACAATCACCAACACCCATTTTCTCTTCTATAAGAAAAATAGCAGTTTTAAATTTTTTATATCTTTTATGTTATCATTTAAATGCAAAATAGTGGAATAAATACAACAATCTGATCTGATTGAAACACAAGGTGTAACTATAAGGAGTCACACAATCCTATTGCTTTAAATAAGAACAAACCTAAATGAAGCAAAGTAAAAATTAAAATCATATGACTCAAACATACACCATTATAACTTTCCAAAACTTCACATTAAGTAAATGGTCTTGCTTAAAACTTGAGAAAACCTCCCTCCAGAGAGGATGAAGATGAGCATTTGCCCTAAAGCCGGTGCAGTTCTTTTAGAGTTACATTTTCGTTTTGTTTCCTATTGGTGAGATGATTTGTTCTTTTGTAATGCTGAGAGTCACTTACACTGAAAACTAAAAATTCTATCTCCTTCTTTTAACATAACTCCCTCTCATGTTTTCAGTTGATTAGCTCTTTCTTCTGAAGCCCAAGTACTTTAATGTGATACAGTGAAAACAATGTATATATTGTATATATTTTATTTATATATAGTGTAGTTGAATAGTAGCAACTTAAACCCTGCACGAACTTTCCGGAAAATAATCTTTTTAAACACTTACATATATAAATAATCTTATAGAATCAGCACCTTTTTTTTTTCCCAGGAGTTGTATTTTCTGTTGTTATTTTTAAAGGGATGTGCCAATTTCTGAACTCCTATCACAGCTATAAATTTCAAGTTATTGACCATCTGAATGAATTGCTAATGATGATTTATCTAGAATCACACTACAGTCACTTCTCTACTGAGAAACCACAATCTACAATATAGTCCCATATAGCTAATGATAGATACACATTATTCCTAGCTCTGAGCTGATGAAACATCAGCCCAAGGTATTTTGTTTAAAGCACACAAAGTAGCAATAGTTTTGGAAACGAGTCCGCACCAAAAAAGTTTTGCAACAACACAGAGCGAGTTAATAACAACATCTGAGAGATGATTGAGTGAAAGCCATATATACAGCATTTAAAAATTAGACTTATCTATATTCTTGAAATATTCAAAGTTTTATTTCTAAGCTATACATTGGTATTCTATAATAAACCATTAGAGAAATTATTCCTTGTTTTGAAAATATTATTATGATTTTGATGTGTATCTGTTCATAATGAATACTTGTTGGGAGTTTCAATCTCTTAATTATTATTAGGAAGAACCTTATTACTGGTAAGGAATAGAATATACTACTGTAGTCTCCTGAGGAATTGTACATCCAATATTGTCTCTAATTCTACCCTGTGTCTAAAAGCACACACCACAAGAATCCAAACACCACAAGAACAAGACAACAGTCTTTGAATGCAACATAAAGTTCAGAAAAGCACAGCAAACATGAAACATTGAAAAGCTGAACTACATTTCTTTTTGTTTGTTAGGATTACAATTTTAATTACATCTGTGTACATAGAATAAGACTCTTCACATAGTACAGGGAGCAGCTACTAACACTGGTCCATTGCTATAGCATCTGATGGAGGTTACTGTTTATTGGTTATTCAGCGACTGTAGATTTCGGGGGCATCTAATTGATTTCTTCATTAGATTACACCTCTTAACAGTCTGGAACCTGACTGACTTTCATGCTGTGACAACACAGGTTGAAAAAAGCACAGATATTGGCTTCGCTCTTAGTGAAAACTGCAGAGTAATTTAAACAAATGTTCCTAAATGAATAAACTCATATGGATTTGGTGTTAGAATTTGGTCAGGCATCTTCTGTCTTTGATTTTTTTTTTTTTTTAATTTTAATTCTGGCATTTGCCTTATTGCCTCTTACATGAAAAACGGGCTCACAGCTCCTTTTGAGACAAGGTCTGTAGCTTTGCGAACAGGCAGGATCTCATTCCTAACCACCAGGGCAGCTAGAAATCATATGGCAATTGCACCTCCCAGGTAGAGAGGTGCACTCCTGCTAATTCTACGGATCTGTATTCCATGTGCAGTGCTTTTATACACGTGACTGCTCAGAGCCACTGTAGGTGTAATCTAATCCTTTGTGTTAGTGAACATTTAGGTAAAACTGGAGCTCATGTTAAGAAATTGATGTTTGGGACCAGACTGGCACACAACATAAATTGCATCCGTGAGAATATGCACCTTCCCTTCGACTATTGCTTGAGTAAGTTAAATTCCCATATTAATAAATGGCTGAAAAGTGGTAAAGCTGGTACAAAAAAATCTCCATTTGTAAGAAGAAACAAAACATTTTTTTAAAAATCTTCCTTCAGGATTCATTTGTCCTTCATTATTGTTCATAAGTGTTCAAAGCCAGCACAAAATTGCAGTATTCTTATTTCTCTTTAGTATTGCATGAATGAATAAAGCTTAACCTATTCCCTGAAAAAGTTACATAGTAGCTAAACTAACAAATACCTGGAAGACTTGAAAAAACAATTAAGGAATCAAATGGCTGTAACTGATCTAGATGGAAAAGCAATGATAAGAAGCAGCCGATGCAACGTTGCTTAAGTTGTCTAATTAGAGGCTGCTCCCGTGGAATCTAATACTGCACTCAGTCAATCCGCTTATGTTGCACTGTACTTTCAGGTACGTTGGCTCTCTTGCTTTGATTCCTTAGTCATTGGGGACGTTATGGTTCTCAAGTTCACTGGTATCCATACTATGGATCCCCATCCTTTGGCAGGGCTGGCTTCCATCTCTCTTCTGTTAGAGACCTTTTTGAAAAGTTCAGCAGCAGAAGGAAGGAAAGAAAAGGACAGAAAAAGGAATGGAAGGGAAGGGCGTGGAATGGAAGAGAGAGGAAAGAAGAGAAGAGAAGTTTTCTTACAACCAGAGGGTTACAATTTTAGAAGAAAAGGGCAAAAATAAACAAGAGAGAGAAAGAGAAGAAGAAGGAAGGGAAAAAAAGAAGGAAAGAAATGAGAAAAAGAAAAAGCCAGGTATCAAGGAAGCAAAAAAAAAAAAAAGAGAGAGAGAGAGAGAGAGAGAGAGAGAAGGGGAAGAAGGGATGGAGAAAAAAATCAGGAGGAAGGGAAATTTGTAAAGAAAGGAGATGAGAGAGAAAGTAGAAACTCATCAGGAAGATATGGAAGAATCTGAAAGCTGCTTCATAGTCTTGCTGCTATAAATGATCAGTGCAGTCTTTGTTGATTTTTTTGATGCTGTGAACTAAACTCTTAAGTTTCTTCGCCATCACTCTTGGGTTGATTTTCCCTTTTTCAACGTGCAGGATGGGAAGGCCCAGGAAGCTTTTAGTCAGACCTTGGCCTCCAGCATTTCCAAAAAAAGTTTGTGCATGGGGACTTTGCCTTCTAGTTTGATGTTGTAGAAATGCTGCACCGCCTTGGTGGAGGTCTGCCTCAGCAGGGGCAGCGTCATCAGCATCTTGCCAGCCCGACGGGGGTCTTCCATGTGCTGGCCAGCCTCGTAATCCTGCAGGGCCTCGTGTAAGACATCCTGGAGCTTCTGAACGGCTTCGACATCTTCTATGTGCATGGAGTCTGTGACAAAACAAAAACACGTAAGCAACCATACCAATAACTAACCCTTGGAGTTAGAGTAGAAAAGGTAAACAGTACTCTTGAACTTTTTTAAGGATCAAAGCTGTGATTTGTTCATTCCCCAAATCTCTATTTTTTTTCCCTAAACCAAATTTCCTTTTTATTTTTAGAGGTTTTTGCCATACGTCATGTACGCTTGCCAGAGAGAGAGAGAGACAGAGACAGTGAGAGGGAAAGTGAGAAATCACCCCTCAAGGAGGACAGCCATACCACAATCCCTTCGCCATTCTCCTTCTGGGATCTGTGGCATGCGTGCACACAGGCCTGGCATGATTTTCAAGCCACCAGGACTTGAACCATGGTGAGCCAAGTGGGAGTCAAGCCACCAGGACTTGAACCATGGTGAGCCATGTGGGAGTCCAGTGATGTAAGCACTATGCCATCTGCTGGCTCACAGTAGATAATTTCTAATACTTGCTTAGAACATAGGAATTAGTGCACATGATCCATTATTTAAGATGTGTTTTTTCCTTCTAAGGCTGAGACAAAGAAGGTTTCTTTTAACACATTATAATCTTGGTTATTTTACTCATTGCCTCATTCATGTAATTATTCATCATTCAGTAAACAATTATGGAAATTGATCTATTAAGGGTATTATTTTAGGAACAGGTAGGTGGTGTGGTGGTTAAGGTGCTGGACATGGAGGATTGTAGTTCAAGTCTCAGACTTGGCAGCTTGCTTTCTCACTTTCTTTCTAGTCAAATTAAAACATAATAATAAATACAATCTTGAAAAATGCTGCAGAGTAAAGTTGTTTAAACTTCTGATCTTACCTACAAAAAGCCCATATTTTCCAAAAGAGAAAAAGAAAGCTGACGATGAAAACCTTAAGAATTCTATATGAGGACTGGTCCCACAGTTTAGTAGTTAAAAAAGCAGATATCACATGGCAGACCATGGTTCAAATCCTGATCCTGGTGGCTTAAAGATATGCCAGGAAAATCTATTTACATGTGACCAGAATTCTGACCGGGTGGACAAACAATGAGAAAAGTTGTGGAATGACTATACCCCATTAAGGGATGCCTTCTCCCTCCCTCCCTCTCTTTGGCCTAGTACACATGCCCTCTGGCAATTAAAAACAAACAGGGACCAGCAATTGCATAATGGCTATGTTGCTAGACTCCTATGTAGTCAGCTGCGGTTTGAGTCCCGGACCCTGTGACTTAAACTCACGCCAGGCACATGTGCATGCATGCCCAAGATCCTGAGAGGAGAATGGAGAAGAAGGGATTTCAGTGTGGCCATCCCCCTGGGGGTGATTTCTCCCTTTCTGTCTTTCTGTCTCTATCTTTCTGGCAAGCACACATACCCTATAGCAAAAACCTCTCCAAAAGAAAAAAATGTAAAAAAAACAAACAAAAAGAAATCCATATAAACACACTGAATCTAGCACTATAAAGAAATTATAATAAACTATCTTTTTAGGATTTTTTTAATGTACTAGTGACATTTCAGTAAAGCTTCCTTAACTAGTCTACTCCCCTGCTGAAAAGCAAATGATGTCTTTAGATGATTGCGTTCTGAAATAGTTTTCACATTTGTGAAGGTGAACCATGACCTCAAATGACTAATTTGAAAATCTAATTCAATCCAGCAGAGAAAGGGTTAACAAGGTTGCCATAATTATTCTTGTGAGAAATGTGGGATGTGGGGAAAAAATAAAAGTTACAGCTCTAGCTCTAAAACAGACACTTAATTATATACAAGTTTGAATCATTTAGCACGTTTTATTGATTCTGATGACAGTTTATCTGTTAATTACACATAATGGAGTCTTCCGGGGATTCTTCATGTTTAATAATTCTAGTTCTCTGAGAATGCTGAGCTCTAAGATATATGTAGTTAGCCTAATTTTTCATACACTTTAAATACAGATCCCATGAACAAAAAAGGGAGAGGAAATGGAATTTAAAGTCGTGTCCAAACATATAATAAACCAGAAATACACTAAAGTTATTAAAAGATAGAACCAGTAACATGTTTTTTAAATTTCCTTCTAATTTCTTTTGTTTATTTATTTTTAAAATTTTTTGTAGAAGTTTTTGCCTCAGGGCATGAGGAGAGAGACAGAGACAGTGAAAGGGAAAGTGAGAAATTAACCCCCCAGGGGGATGGCCACACCACAATCCCTTCTCCTCCCAGGATCTTGGGCACTCATGCATATGTGCCTGACATTGAGTTTCAAGGTCCCAGGTCCAGGGCTCTACAATGCAGTTGGCCACTTGGGAGTCCAGCAATGTAACTGCTAGCCATCTGCTGGCCCTTTGTTCATTGTTTTTCTCCTGTTACATTTTGTGTTATTTCACCACATCAATGGTGCACTGACTACTACTTACATTAGGTAATTCATGACACATTTCTTCCAAAGAATTTTGAATGATCTAAAACACAGTTCCTTCGGACCAGCAGTTAGCATAATGGCTAAGTCCCTGGACTCCCATGTAGTCGACTGTGGTTCAAGTCCCGGACCTGGTGGCTTAAACTCACGTGGGGGCGTGTGCGTGTGTGCCCAAGATCCCAAGAGGAGAATGGAGGAGAAGGGACTGCGACGTGACCATCCCCTCTGGGGGGTGATTTCTCGCTTTCTGTCTCTCTGTCTCTCTCTTTCTGGCAAGTGCACACGCCTTATAGCAAAAACCTCAAAACAAAACAAAACAAAAAACCCCAACAGTTACTTGAAAGTATTTACTGCTCAAGATCCAGTTTCTGTCTAGTCAATCCACAAAAAGAAATAGTAGGGCCTGGAAAAGGACCGAAGACATGGCCTAACACACCTGGCCCTGCCTGGGGGTGGTTTCTATCTAGGCTTCTTTCCAGTCTGGTTCCTTCTAGCATGGCAATCTCTGCTTTCTATGGCATCTTCTCATGGAAACAAGCTCATGTGATTTCTGAGGTGGCCTAAGGTAGGTAATGTTAGCGACAGAAAAACGGAGGAGATGAAGAAGATTGCAGTATCACCTGATAATTTTTTTCCTTTTCTCCCTTTTGCCCTTCAATGCTGCCTGAAGGAAAAATGCCTAGAGGGCACAATCGTACAGTAACAGGGAATCTCTAGGTGCACAAGAGAGTGTAGTATGGGCTCCACACAAGGGAATGGAAATGAGGTAGGTTCACCCAGCCAGTCCTGAAGCCAAAGGGTAGCTCTCTACACACTGAGAATAGATGCCTGGGGAAAACAGGAATGACATTCTTCAGAAAAAAAAAAAAAATATTCTTTTCAGGCTGGACTCCCCCCCAAAAGCAAAATAAAAATAAGAAACTGACAATTCCTTAGAACATTACTCATGTCATTTCCCAACACAAGTCAGATGGTGCCGATATCAAGTGTGACACTCAGGCTTAAACTTGGGTTTCATTGAATCAAGTTATGCTGATAGAAGTACAACACTGACTATATCATTTTCTTGTAAAAAAAAAAAAATTAGTCAAAATTATCTTTTTTTTTTTTTGGAGAGGTTTTTGCTATAGAGTGCGTGCGCTCGCCAGATAGAGATAGAAAGCGAGAAATCACCCCCCAGGGGGGAAGGCCACGCCGCAATCCCTTCTCCTCCATTCTCCTCTCGGGATCTTGGGCATGCACGCACACGCACCTGGCGTGAGTTTAAGCCACCGGGTCCAGGACTCCAACTGCGGTCGACTACGTGGGAGTCCAGCGACATAGCCATTATGCTAACTGCTGGTCCTAGTCAAAATTATCTTTGAACTCATCTTATTCAAACTTCCACTTTCTTCAGCAATCTTCTCTACAATATTCCTTCTGAAGACATTTCCAATTGTGTACAGAGCATGAAAAATATTCTAACTTACAAGACAGAAGTAATGATTAGAAATATCTTCTTCATATGTTTCCAAATTCCACTTTTTTGTACTGGTTCTAACTACTGGAACAATACACGATACATTTCCTGTTTCTACACGGCATATCTTTAAATGTGAAAATCAGCCACTCAGTCACCTCAGCCCTCACCCTGAGTCTTGCCTTTTCCACTATTCTGGCCCGGCAGGAGATATATTATAGGATGTCACAGGAAATGAGGCGAGAACAAATAGCAGAGAGATATGCTCACAAACAGCAATTAAGACTTCAAACTATTCTTTAAAGGCTGTGATTTAGCTTGAGAGATTTAGAAATGATTTAATCAAATTACTATGATAATTTAACTTCCCATTTACAGAAAAGATTCTAACTCATTTTAGCTTTACCCATTCTCGGATCTGCTAATACTTTAAATGCAAACTCACTAAATCTGAACTATTTAATTAGACCATGATTCAGCTGGCAGACTGCTGAAGAAAATATTAATCTCCATTAGAGATCCTAGTTCAAGTTCTGGTTCTGTGGCTTTCATCTCTGTTTTGTACTTTTGGCTAAATTTACATGTTGATGCCAGGCTCAATAAGACTGGCATAAATTTATGTAATCATTTACCTTTGGTTGCTGGAGTAGTTTTTTCTTTTTTTTTTCTTTTTTAACTAGGCCTTTAAAGAAATAGACACAGGATTTGTGCTAAGAGGAACCAGCTACACTTAATAACAGAGATGATTAGTTTATGTACTACACAGGGCTAGGTTTGTACATTAAAAACACCAGGTGTGGTGGTTAAAAAACTTGGATAGCTGAGCCCAAGTCCAGACTTACTAAATCAGAATTTGGAGCTAGATCCAGGACATCAGTATTTTTTTAAAAGAATTATTGGGAACCAGCAGTTAGCGTAATGGCTATGTCGCTGGACTCTCACGTAGTCGACTGTGGTTTGCGTCCCGGACCCGGTGGCTTAAAACTCACACTGAGTGCGTGTGCGTGCGTGCCCAAGATCCCGAGAGGAGAATGGAGGAGAAGGGATTGCGGCGTGACCATCCCCCCTGGGGGGTGATTTCTCGCTTTCTGTCTCTATGTCTCTCTCTGTCTGTCTGGCGAGTGCACACGCCCTATA